GTCTTAACACATAATGGACTAAATTTTTTCCAGCATTCGAAAAGCACGAATAATCTTAGGATAAATTAAACGCGGAGAAAACTATATAAACACAATAATTAAATGACAAATGGAATGCATATAGTTGTTTCACACTTGAAATTTGAGTAATTGAAAAATTGTTTACGATCTATTTTATTCAAAATAGTATCTTAAATGAATGGCTTTTTATGAAATTATAATTCGGACAATAAGTTAGCTTGATATCTTTAAATAAATTTTCATCTTTTTATTATTTTCTATCAAAATAAATATTAGTCTTGAAGTTAGACTTCATTCAAATTTATAGTTGCGTCATATTAATTACGAGCTCGCGGATTTCTCATTGTATATACATAATTCGATTAGATTGAATCTTAAAAATCAAAATAAATCGAAATGCATTCTTTTAGACACCTATTTTTTTACAGAATAAAAATAATCATTGATTATTGTTTTTATACTTTGAAAAAGATTCTATCTCCTGGCCATTCAAGTGAAACTCGTTTAAGTTCATCATCACAAACACCATCTGCTACGCCATCAACATCAAGAACAACTAGAAGAACAAATAATAATCGTAACAATATGCAAGATTCATTACCTCGACCATCATTCAAAGAAGATAATGTATCAAAATCAATCGCTTCTGGTGTTCAGTTAGATGTAATTATTGGAGAACATAATTAGAAGATTGTTTAAATGAAAATGAACTATTCCAATTTAGTGCTTTCCAACTTTCAGTTTTAAATTATTTAAATAGCTAATGTTTTTGGCTATGTATAAAATTATTTTTTTTTTATGGGTTATTCTCTTCAAAAGAATTTCGATATGTTTAATGTTTTTCATCAGAAAGTAATGTATTAGTAGGAATTCTTTGCTATTTATAGCAATCTGAAAGCTGTAAGATTAATTTAAGAAACTTTACTACATGAAATAAATAACTATGTTTATATTAATTTTTAGTAATGATATTTCCATCATTACAATATATGATTGATGAAAGAGTCTTTTCGATGAAATTCATATTTCATTTTCGTCTATTAATTTTTTTATTTTGACACTTAAATAAAATACTATTAATGATATTATGAATTATAGTCCCATTCTGTATGACATTTAAGCTCAAAGCATTAAAAAATAACAAAATAAAATGAAACAAACAGAATTTGACGTTCTAAAAAGGATTATTTTGGCAGAATTGTAGTACGAATTTCATATCAATTAATTAGATTCTTTGTAAATTAAAAGAACTGCATAATCGTTAATAAGTTATTTTTAAATCTTGAAGACCATGTTACATAACCTATGACATTCATCGATTGATAATCTTTACAAAACTATGAACGAAATCAAGCCGGACAATTAATCTTTTGCTATAAATTGTAGTCACCAATTGTTCATCGTTCCATATCGAAAAATCGTATAACTGCTGGTGAAAAAACTCTTATAATAGCTGATGATCTTGACTTGAAGTAATAAAATTGTTCTTTTTTATTTAATTTTTAAATTATTCTTAAAAATAAACCATACAGATCAACAAATTTTGGTACTATAAAAATTGGTATTCATTATCTTATTCATCGTTCAGCTTTATCTGTAACAGTACATGCATGCAAGTAAGTTTTCTTTAAAGAATTAATTTCATAAAAAAAAATCAACTTCTTTTTCTAGAGAACTTATGAATGTTAATCAAGGGAATTTACCGGATCCATATGTACGTCTTTATTTAATACCGGATTTCAAACGCGATAAAAAGAAAACAAAATCTATTCATGGTACACTTAATCCAACCTATGATGCTTTGTAAGAGATTAATAAAGCAAAATTATTAAATATAAATTTAAAATTTTTTTTTTTTTTTTTGATAATTATTTAGATTTGAATGGCAAGCATCATTAGCAAAAATATGTCGACAACGTCTGTATTTAAGTATGAAAAATAATTCACCTTTATTTAAACAAGAGCGAACATATATGGGTGATGTAAGTAAAAAAGACAAAAAGCCATTAATAAAGAGATATTTTTATTTAATGCTTTTTGTTTTCAAGCTTGAAATTGATTTATGAAATATGGATCCAGAAAAAAAAAGTATTGCTTGGTATGCATTACAAGAGTCATATACAAGCGGTGGTGGTATTATAAAAGTTAAATATGATACATTAGAATCAAATGAATAAAGGACAAAATTGAAAAGAATATATATATATATTCCGTTTTTATCAACCTTTGTAAAATTCTATGCATATTTTCACATTTTTTATTTTATTCCGAAAGATTTCCTCTTAATAAGAATAGATTTGTTTTGATTAAATTTGTGTAAATTATAGTCTAGATATATGAACGAATACGAATTAGAAGAAAGTTTTATTGAGTCAATTGGTAAGAAAAAAGAGAAATAATATTAATCATGCATACATATTGTGATTATATTATATTTGAAAGATATTTATAGTTACAATTTCATAGATTGAGAAGTATTTGTTTAATTCTTAAATTATCGAAATTTTCTAATTAGTGATAGTCAGAAGTATTCGACCTTGGGCAGGAAAACTGTTGCTTTATTTCTATTTAAAAAAATGTGAAGGTTTTTTTTTATACATAACTCGAAGAAAATGATCGATTGCTTTCGAGAAAAAAAGAAAATTTTTATAATTATGAAGTTTTCTAATCTTCTGATCAAGTCACTATTATTTTTAATTGTATCAAAATGACTTTTTTCTTCATCTGTCCATGAGTTTCTATAAAATTGGAAACTTTTTAAAGTTTTGTGTGAAAATCAATTATTCAATAGTACCAAACTTGAAACTTGAATTCAATTGAAATTTCAATGGGATTCAGATTTCAACTTTCAAGTTGGGTATAGGACGTATATAAGATACAGAAGATAGAAGAGGTGAGTCTTTCACATAAATCACCGGATATTCTTGTATTGGGGATAACTTTTGTTAGGAACTACATATGCACCTTTGGTTTTCACCATTCGAAAGACCAATGCTCGGGCCATCGATTCCTATAATTTAAATTACGACGGTAGATAGTCTTTATACGAGCTTCCTTTGGGACAATCTTCTTTATGTGTATTTTCATGAATTTTCACATCAATCTAGCGTCAAATTACATCAAAATATAGTTCAAACCACCCATTTTTGCTATAAAACTATCATTTTATGCATTATTGCTTCAAACTCTTTTTTCAAGTGCACCTTTAGAAATACTGATCTCAAAGTGTCAAAAAAAAAGAATACAGATTTAAAAACTCATATGAAAAAGCATCTTTTGTACTAATGCATATTATATGGATTCATGGTTCAAACATTGCTGTTTCGAATGATCAAGATCACAGGTCTACATCTAGTTATTACCCATAAGTTGTTCTCAATAAAAGACTCTCAAGTGACTTCAAGATATCCCTATATATCCTATATCTCCTAAACCACCTATACCTGCTATATCTCCTACATCATCCTATATCTCGTAAATCACATACATCTCCTATACATTTTATATCTGTCTATCTATCTACCGCTACCCTAGAACATAATCGAGAGTGTGGGTGTGGATGAAAACAAGATGCAACACTCATAGCCATACCCATACCCTCTTTTTACTGAAGAAAAAATTCAAGTTAAACAAAAAAAAGTTTATTTTTACATTGAAAAAGTAATTAAATATATATGAATAGATTTATCTCTTTCTACTAACATCACCAATAAACATAAGTGTGTAGTTAATATTTTATGTGCCATTTGTGTTGAAAATCAAAGCCAGATTGAGAATATTGGATTTGAATGCTCAGCACGAAAAGAAAGCGAACGAAACTTGAGATCAGTGTTCTCAATGAGCCAATTCTTAGCATTGAAGTTGAGCCACGACGCTGAAAATTGTTCATAGTCACCGATCGTGCGAAAACTCACCAGTTCTGGCCAAAAATAAAATTTTTCATATGTATCATCATCGTAACTGAAGAGAGTTTTGAAACAGTGAAGGAACGCTGATTTTTCAAGTGGAAATAATAGTTGTAAATAGCGAACATTGGGATATTGTTGAGCTAGAATAGGTATTTCGGTTTCATCAGTCAAACGACGTTGAATAATAAGATGACGAATAAAAGGTTGTGATGAAATCGAGTTGATCAATGGTGCGGCTAGAATAAAATATTATAATCATTTATTGTTCATTTTTCCTTCATGAAACTCAAGAGAAAGAGAGACTTACGTGCTTGTTCAGTAAGAATGAGTTTGTAAATACGTCGTGGCAACCTGTTTTCAATTGATTGACAAGTGGTAAGTTGACAAATTTGACTGAAACGTGTGTTGAGTTCACACAATCCATTCTGAGTTGTAATATGCAACTGGTTCATGTATTTGGCTTGTTTGACATCCGATGTGATTGATGTATTGTGTTCACTCGATAACATAGGTACTTGCCGCTTGTCTTCTCGGCCCCACGACCACGGCAATGAAAAAATATGCACCCAATTAATATATTCGTTCTCATAGAAAACGACATTCATTGGCCATTGTATGAAAGATTCGACCAATGTTTGATCGCTGATTCGATGTGTCATTGTATAGTGAAATTTACGAAGATGAATAGCATATTGATTTAACATGGATTCCATGGTAAGACCATGACAAAATCTATGATCAGATGTATCACGAATGCTTAATGTCAGTATAAGCAGTGCTGGCATGTATCTCAGCACAGATTTGACATCATCGATCCATAGCCCGACTCCACAATCTAGCAGAGTGAATTCGATCAGGCGAGAACATGAAGATATACATCTAGGAGTACGACCGGCTATAATGCGAAGAAAAAACAATATTTCAATTTGATAAAGTTATTAGAAAATATGAAACCTCGAAAGTATCAACATTTGAGTAATAATGATTAATAACAAAAAGCAACGCACTAGGTACTATCATTTACCTTTCTATTATTTTTGCCCATTTGTCTCTTTTTGTATAAGCTATAGCACCTGTTCTTTATGAAAAAAAGGTACGATTAATGATGTAAAATAGTCAGATAATGCAATAATTTTCTGCCAGCATTGAATTAGTCGACAACATTCTATTAGAACGTGATGAATAAATGAATTGTGATTTTATTTCAGCTTCGCATAAGTGATTTCATCATTTTATTGTTCATGGTGTTATCAAAATATTTTATAAAAAGTAAAATTTTAAATCGAATTAAATTGTTCATTGAAAGAACCAAAAAAAGAGATAATATTCGAAAATTTAGATAGGAAAAACCTGATAATATAAAAACTGTAACTGAATCATACTGGATACAAGTTAAATTCCAATTTTAGGATTTTTTCTATAAGGTTTATTATCAACATGAATAGATTTGCGCGTCCTAACAGCCCATTATCAGGTCGACATCGTTTACTCAATTTTTGAAAGAAAAGTATTGCTGCAGAGATTCTAAGTATCTATAAGACTACAAGTCTACTTACTCAATGATTTTGCTTGTTGCAGTTGAATAATCATTGTTCGTACGTTTGGTACTAGTCCGCCAAGTAATACAAACAAATCGTCAATCGTTCGCAGAACAAGATCAACATGTTGAAGACTTTGATGAGCAGTCAACGAATTACACAATAGAAGTCCCTTAGGCCTTTTGATTATAACAGAACTCAGAGCTCGCTGTTGACCGTTGAACAGTAACCGACATAAAATATCGTTCCATGAATCTGTGTGGTAAAAATTAAAAAAGATGATTATAGTTTTTTGTTCATTACAAGTGTTCGACACAAATTTTATATATGAGTCCAATAATATCTCAAAACAAAAAATCGAGGTTATTTTTTCGATCGGAATGTTCATAACGATAAATTACTTTGGTGTCATATTCAATGAAAACGGGAACGAACTTTAATCGAAAGAGAATTTCACGGTTTTTTGACTTTAGGTACACATGTTGATTTGTATTTTTTTTTCTAATCTTAGCTGAATGTTATGCCTTTTTTGCATCAATGAATTTCAAATTAGAATAACTCGAAACTGTTTACTTTCTTTTCAGTAGATCATAGATAGTGACTAAATCTCACGAAATGAGAACATATGTCCTTTTCTATGACGTCGATAAACCTCATATGTACACTCTTCATTTGGCCGCGTCGAATTTTTCGACGGCTTAAATGAATTGAGGTTAGTAGATCTATTTTGAGTCACAGAATTCATAGGAGCTTTAGATTCAAATTTGACTTGAGACTTACATCATCTCTAGAAATTTAGCAAGATATTGCTATAGAATATTGCTTAAGAACAAATTGACATCAAATTTAGCTCAATTTGTAAGAAATATTCTTTTCTAGGGAAATTTGTATGGCGCCATATTAACCATTCGAATTATACAGTCCACATCAACAATCTCTGAGGTTCTTAAGCTGTCAAATATTTTTTACGATTTCATTGGCTAATATTTGTGATCAAAATTAAGAGTCGGCAAAAAAAGAAGAAAGCAAAGATTCCACTTGTTTTTAGTATTTTTTGACCTAAAAGATCAAATATCGAGGAATTAGTTGTTAAAAATACTGATTTCTTGTATATTTTATGCAACAATTTCAAAAATATGCTGAAAATATTTCTTTTTTTTTCTCATTCCTTTTTGGTTTCTCAGCTTTGAGTAACTCTTCAAATTTTGTTCGAAAAACACTTTATTACAGAGAACTTGTTCTTCAAAAACTCTGAAAAACTCAGATTTGTCATGTCATTAACGCGATCAAAAAGTTCATTGACCGACGAATACGACATAAAAAAAAGTACTATGTTCACTGGCCCACGCAATATGTGTTAAACATGATATACCAATGTGTTAGAAAAGTGGTTGACAATATGTTTGTGTTGTAGGCATCAGTGATGTCAGTCACTTGTAAGTTGAATGCTGTTCAATACTAATATGTTTTTCATATTTATTTTCATCCGACTTACTCAATTCGTTAATGTCAAGAATAGCTATATGAAGATGTTCGAGTTGTTCCATATTTTTATAGAGCTTCTTGATGATCTCTTCGCTTTTGGAAGATACATTAATCATTTTAAGACATGTTAGATTGAGAGCTATCGATTCTATTGTCTTATCAGGAACGTAAAAGAAAAGATATGTTTGACAGGATACATATTCATCACTCAGTGTCAATGATTGAGGTCGAAGAGGATGATGTGAATCAAGAAACAGCTTGAATAAGTAGCAGCAATCTTTAAATGTGACTGTAGTGAGATTGATTTTTGTGTAATAAGCAACAATCAAACGATGTAGATGACTTTGAGGTGTTTCAGGTGTGTAGAAAGAACGAAGCACGTCACATGGTGTCATATAAAGACAAATGATGAGCAGAATCTCATTCGGTATATCGCAAAATTTTGTCACATAATCTTGACAATGGTTTGCTGTTGATGTTGAACAAGAAGTCAATCCTAATGAATGAATAAAACAGAAAAGAACTTGATGGATATTCAAGAACTTCTTTTATGCAATTTAAATTCATTTAGAATCTTATTTCTCAAGCAATTCAACACATTTTCATACATCTCAGAAAAGTCATTCGATCCTTTTAATAGTGACACAATATTTACCAGTGTAGTCGACGACATGTTTTATCATGCATTCAGTCATTGCTATTTTCAATCTAAATGAATATGTGGTCTCATTTGGTGAACCTATAGCTCGATTTAATATGAATATTGCACGAAGGCTATCCAATATGTATTTCTCTCGTCTATCATGTTCATGCACTAGTCAGATATATATTGTGACCCGAGGTACAGCACTGTGTATCAGACACATTGACTAGAATAATCGAACATAGGTGGCTACCAATAGAATGAAACTTCTTTATATCAAACACATCGCATCGTCGCTAATTGCGTAGTCAGACAAAATGACAGGAATGGCAAAAAGCGTTGGTTGCATCATATATTGAAGACAATGAATCCATTACAACAAGAGATGACGCAATGTACCCAAGCAATCAGAAACGAAGAACTAACGCATTATAACAATCACTATTGTTAACCTTTTTAACGGATTTTAACTTTAACAGTATTATAATGAGTGAAAACAAAAACGTTTAAACACGTTCAACAGATAATTACATGAAAAACAAAAAATTCGGACATTTTTCATATATTTCAACGCATTTTAAAGTTAAACTCATTTAAACTCTTAAAGATATCTTTCAATCAGATCGATAATCTGTCAGGCCCTTATAAATTACCATTTCCATAAGTTAGAAAGATAGAGTATGAGATTCTGTGCATGTCTGAGTACTTTTTTATTCAGTGTATAAAGAATTTTGCAGGATTAATACTCTTAGAGTGCTCGTCATTTTTAAATGTTTTGAATAAAATCAGTTTCCAAAGTTTTCATTCAAAACACTCACAAAATGATACGCACTCTAAGAATATATAATCCAGAAAAATTCTTCTTACACTCAACACCCACACCCGATTATGACGATAAATAGCTATTGACACATTTCCAAGAAATAAAAGAAACAACAGAAATTAGTAAATAAGAGTGATACTTGTTTTGTCTATATATTACAGAGAATAAATAATAATCAAACGAATATAGTCGTTAATATTCTTCTAAGTTTGATTGTTGATGAATTTGATCACTTCGATTTTTTTTTTCAGGGATTTTTTATTATCATTAATAATTAATCAAAGTTGAAAACTACTCTAGAAAACAATTTCTCTGTATATATATATCACAGTGAAAGTCTTTACGGATTGACATAAAGAAAAAGAAGATAAAATAGAAGAATAGTGTTTTATTTCAGAGATGGATATATAGTAAGAAGAAGATTAACTGGTTTATTCCTCACGTATTAATTTAGTATATTTCCTTATTGAGTCAACTTTTTTTTTTATCCATTTTCAATTATATTCAGAATAATTTAAGTTAATTTATTTGATAAGAATATATTTTTCGATTTTCGTCTCATATATAGACTATTGATGTTGTCTTTTACAAACATTCCTTTAAATTTTTTTTAATTTAAAAATGCTGATTAAAAACTGAAAAATTTTCAAAATTTAATATAAAGAATAACGTGTGATTCAATTAATAAATGAATAAAATAAAAATGAAATTTTTATTTCGTTGAGATATATATAATGATTATAAGAAAAAGATTCATATTTACTAAATTTAGGTTATTTATAGTGAAATTCTCGATATGAATCAATCGAGGTTTGTTTATTAATACTTATTAAAATAAAAAAAAAACGTTTAATATTAAAGCGAATGATCGAATATTGTCCGATTCAACTCGATTAGAATGTTCTTCATTTGATGAATTTGTTCCATCGAATGATTATATGTCAAGATCTTCATTATTGTTCAATAAAAATTCAACTTTTTTGAACATTTATCTAAATGATGAAGACATCCTTTTCTTTTTCTATTATTTATCTGTAATATTCCTCATTGAAATTAAATCCTAGCAGAAACAATATTTATAACAAAACATTTTTTTTTGTTGGAAGTATTTTTCTTTCATTAAAAATATCTCGATGAAAAACAATAGTGATCTGTTTATTTTCATAATTAAGTCAATTTTCTATTGATGTTGATTATTTTCAAAACCAAATATGTAGTCAAATTTAGTTGTTTTCATCGAATAGTTCTCCTCGTATACATATTACCAAATATAGAAACAAATAGATCCAGTTAAAT